GGGGCCCATTAGTCCCCAACTCAGCCTTCAGTTCTTGTCTAGTTCTGTTTTAGAATTGGTACCAGTTTTAAATGTGGATCCTTGGTTTTTGTGTTTATCTGTGTTTTTGTTATTTATTTATTTAAACATCTCTGGGGGAATAAAAGTTCCAGCTGGGCTCGGTCACAGACCTGCTATGCCCACCCTCCCTGAGAGGCATGGAAGGTTACTGGGCTAGTTTGGTTCCCTTCAAGCCTCAGGCTGCATTTTCTCCTTGTGGAGGTTGCTGGCAGGGAGGGTGTAGAAGGCTGTGTGCCTAGTTTGGACTTTTTCAGCTATTCCTGACAATGTAACAATTTGTAAAGTGCTCTTGTCTAAAATTGGATTAAAAAAAATCTGGCCAGTTTAGTTTCAGGTGACCTCCTCCCCCAGCCCTCCTCCAACAGAAGGGATTCAAAAGACTAATTAGTGAATTGCCTTGCTAGACAAACAAGCTCTGGAAAAATAAAGCCCAACAAAGGTACCTAGTTTAAAAAAAATACTGTCTTAAATTTTTGTTTAAAAACTTTAAAAGGTGTACGTACGACTGATTTTTATTTTTGCGCGCTTTAAGATCTGTGTGAGTGTTTTGTGTGTGTGTCTGTGAATGTGTTCAAAGATAAGAATTGTCAGCATGCTGTAACAATTGGGTGAGGTTAAATTTAAAATTCAAAAGGTTATGAGGTTTGGACATTACCAAAAATTTTTAAAAATCTTCACATTGTTTTAAATGGCTTTTTAAAGATTCTTTAACTTGCAAATTAGAAAATCTGGTATTTAAAAAACTAATATTTTAAAATGCATAAGACTGTATATTGTAATCAAGTTATCTGGCTTAACAAAAATGCATTGGCTGTTTGGGATCTAGTTCCCTTGGCTAAAATTTGGGATAAATATTAAAAATTTAAATATAAAGGTTAGTTTAACACCGTCAAAGATGTTACTTGTTCTGTCTGTCTAAAACTGTGTATCTCATTCGAGAACCAAGAGATAAGAAAAGGGAAAACTAGACGCCAACAGAAGACCTGTCTTTAGGGGTAAGGGGTGAACAAGCAAAAGTGCAGTTCAGCTGGTCATGCATGGTGGGACAGGCCCTGGGAGGAGTCCACGCATGGTGAAAGAGGGCAAGCTGGCACAAACGCAGTTCATCTAACCCTAAAGAGTCGGATTGGGTGCGTGCCCATTCCATAGAAGGGGCTGAGTGGCCCATCTTTGTTCTCTCTTTTCCCTGCAGACAGACACTGAAAACATGATGGTTAAAATGAGTGATGTGATGATCTGATTAGTACTGCTAAAACTTCCCCTTGGATGTGTTAACATTAAAATTAGGAAGGCCTTACAAAGAGGGTTAAAAAGTTATTTGTATAATGTGGCTTACTTTCAATTATGTTCTACAATTAGGATGTTTTTAAAAGTTACAAAGGTGTTAAGTCTAGCTTCGTGGTATAGTGAAGGTGACTGTAATTCTTGCATTAAGGAAAAACTGTCATTTGAGTTTAAAAGTTTTAATGTGTAAAAACAAGCAGCCAAGAGACAATGAGTGATACTTGGCCTCAAGATTTTAAGAGATTTTTTAAAAATGCAAATAAAAACTAAAGTATAAAATATTAAAGGTGATTAATAAGAGGCTTTAAAAAATTAGGAATGGATTTTTGGATATAAAGTTTAAATGTAAAATTGTTCTTAACATTGGCCTCAATGTGCACAAAGGAAAAATTAGGATTACCAAAATAATTGCTATTCTAGTTTGCTCTTATAGGTTTTTTTAAGTTTC